CCAGTTTCGTCTTATACAAAATAAATTTATAATTAAAAGATAATTAGATTAACAAGTACGAACCTGATGAACGTGATTTATTGTTTCTCGTTATGCAATAGTGGTATAAAAACCAACGTTTCTTCATTGATGATATACTTCAGGCATTTTTGTTTAATATCGTCACACTGTATCTTACACAAATCTTGAGATAAATGGTTTTGTGTTGTTACTATATTAAAAAATTCTTGAGAATTGCAAGGTTCAGTGTACAATGATGATAGCGGATATAATTTTTTGCCATAAAAAAAAATGTTATTGTTGAAATTTTTAGCAATATACTTGACACAAAATATACTGTTATCACTTAAAAGGACAAAGTTATCTTTGTCATTTATTATAATTTGAAAATTTTTCAATTTTAATTTCTTAAAGCATGTAATATTTTCATTCAGTTGATTTTCTACTTCATATTCTAGTTGGGGATAACTGACACCAGTCTTCTCATTTAATTGTAGTCTTTCGGTCAGCCTGCAAACAATTTGTTGTAATGGTCGACGTGAAGTTTTGACCATTTTTTTAATATTGTATAAATAATTCTCATATTTGAAAGCGCTAAATTCATCCAAATTACCATGAAGCAAGCAGTCATTTGGCAAATGTATTAAATTGTGTACATTATAAGAAACAAATTCCTTCCCATATAATGCACCAAAATTTTTTACAAAATAACGTAATAAATCACAAGCTGAGTTGTTATATTTAAGATACAATTCAGGTGAACACAGAAAACGAATAGCCGTGTGTAACGACATGAAATGTAAAAATTTGTCTCGGGGTAAAACATCCTTTAATATTATTGGTCCTGTATACAGCAACAGTTGTCTAAATTCTGTTGCTTTAAAACGATCGACTTTGAGAAGACTTCTAGGAGTTCTTGCAAATTCTATAGGTATAACTTTTTTAAGCTTCAAGATGTTTTTAGATAAAATGGCCATTTTCGAGTCAGGAATTCTAACATCTTTTTTACCTTTCACCCAAAAAAGTACTAGCCGTTTCATCACACCTAAGCACACAAGATGCATGTAGTCCAAACATACGTTACTAACAAGCCCTACGTTTAAATTTTCAAGTGGACTATTATACAAATGAAAATCATCATCTTCTTTGTTTTTGAAGGAATCATCTGTGCGCAACGGAGAAACCAAACTCTGAAAAGTTACTCTGCCATTTATGTACTCGCCTTGATCAATACATTTCGTACAACCATGGTAGCCTGTGTGACCCTTGACACCTAAAATGAATGCCTTGGCAGGAGCATCGCAGATAATCTTAGAAATCCTAGGAAAAATTTTTGTTTTGCCAACCTCTAAACCATTTAGCTCTAAAAATTTGAATTCTTGGACAAATTCATTTAAGAACTGACTAACATCGCTTGGTTTTTTCATACCGTGATATATTCCACAAATAAATGGAGGCGATAATCTTGACTCTATTGCTAATAATATGGGCCAAAATTGACTAGTAGAACTTTTAGTCAGTGGCAACCCATCTATGTTTAAACTGAGTTTTAAAATATCGTTCTCTTTTACTGTCTGGACATCAGTTAAATTATTTAAAATTCCACGCGCAACCCCGAAGTGATAATAATGTCCTTCAAGTACATCAATAATATTACATGATCTGGGCGTTTGCAATAGAGTTCTAGCGTTTTTGGGTAAATTGTAACCACCTTGTCTTAAAATTTGTAGCAAATCATTAATAGCTTGTTGAGAGAGCAATGTTCGGTATTGAAGTATCCAATTACGAATATCATTCACGAAAGTATTATTCGGGCGTTCATGAGCTGGATTTTCATGAGTGTCAAGAAATGGCAATTCATTATTAAGAGTAAAGTCAGATGTGAAGCTATTTATTTCTTGTGTTGATTTCTGCGGCGGCGAAAATCGCCGACGTTCACAATACGTGTCATCAACGGATGAGGCAACAGCAATACTGTAACAATTTGCCGATGGAATATTTTTTGCGGGATCAAGATGATTACACAATTGCACGTTGAATCTATTTTGGTGTTTTACACTGCAAATTTGGCTGCTTAATTTTAAATCAGTACTTGTACTCTTTGTGGATCCGTGGGTGTATGGCTTGCAAATATTGTTACGTACTAATCTTCGGAGATGCCGTTTACTGACCACAAGTTTATTTGTTCGATTAGAGAATAAGCTACTTACATGCCTTTCTTCAAGTAATTCTTTTTCCTCTTGCGACATGTTGTTCCGACATATATGTTGACGCTACAACTACGCAAATCACATATACATATGATGTACTAATAAAAATAGTACCTTTAATATACAGTAGGTTATTATACGTTAATACGATAAACTAATACCGATTCAAGAACCTTTATGGTACTTATTTTTTCACAAAACACGAACGTTTCGCGGGAATCCGTCGTTCTAGCACGATGCGCAATAACAAAATACTCCTCTGTCAAAATTGCAGTGCGCAAGCGCTCTGAAGAATGTTTTAAATGCGTCTCAAGAGGAACGTTTGAGAAACGTTTCAGCAAAAATGTGCCTGAAACGTTTCTATTTAGGTTGCACGTTTGTTTATGAAATGTTACACTGGAACGTTTCAAATTATACGCGTTTGGGATGTTTCGTAATGTTTCATAAATGTTTCGTGTTTACTGGGATTATCGTTGTCTTTTTTATAAATTGTTTGTAACACATTATTCTCTTTCATAAAATTTTTATAATGTAATCTACGGTATTTCTGTGTGTTGATAAAGTACTAAATGGTTTTAAATTTGTTTTAGACATTTCTTGAACTTCAATTTTTGGCCTTGAAATTAAAAAAAAAAACAACAACAAAAATTAGGATTATTAAGGGGGAGATTCTCGAAACTCGATAAGGCCTTGCAAGGATCTGCAAATTCAAAACCATAGCAACATGTATTGTTGTTGCATTGTATTTTCAGTTTCGATAGCGATTTGCAAATTATCGGAGTTTCCAGAATCTCCCCCTTAGTTATTAAATATCAACTTACCGTGTGTAAATAGCGACGACACTGAAGTACAGAAATTTTCACAAAACTGCACTACAAATACAGCGAGTAACGAAAACACGAGAGAGCTTGCAGAACTTTCAGAGGTTGAACCTTGAAAACCAAGTGAACGATTTCGGAATTTTACAAAGCTTCACCGGCAAATGGAAGTGCAATAACCATAAATACCGAAAACAATTCATGGGACAATCCGGACTGCTCGCCCCAAACATCTGGTGCGGTAAATATAGAAGAGCCTTATTATTTCATTAGATGAAATAAATTTAATACTTAAATAATAAAATGAATATTTTTCTTTGTTTCGTTTTATATAGTAGGGGATGAGTGATAGAGGTGATATCCCAGGGTCGATTACAACAACGTCTTTATAAAATCCAACGAATTAAGTCTTCACAAACTTGTCGCCGGTCGCGGTTCATCTTTCCAACGACCACAATTGAGAAGGAATTTTCATGACTTTGTTTTTCTATTTGCGTCCGCAGCAAAGCATCATACCCTCAACCCCAGATGGTCTGTACTTACCATAGAAATAATATTATATGGAAGTAACTTAGGGCGGTATTTATAGTCGCAACTCAGACTCAAGTCTGTCTCAAGTTGACAGTTTGAGATTTATAAACCGATCTTAGAACTCAAGACAGGCTCAAGCCCAAGTCAGGTCCGACCTGTGCTCAAGTTCGACTTATCAAAGATAGGCACAATTGAAATTCCATTTTGCAACTCAATTTGTAGTTTGTCGCAACTGACATTTGATAGATTTGAAAAAATCATTTTTATAATATTCCACCAGTTCCACCATGAACCTATTTGATGATTTTTTCGAAGAATATCAAGACAACGACAATGACAATGCTATCCCTGTTCGTGTACCTAAACGTTACATCCGCGACGGACAAGATCCTTTTGAGTATTACTACGAGGAACAGTTTCAAATGCGTTTTCGTTTCAGTAAACTTGTTGTGCGTAACACGTTGTTGCCATTGATCAGGCATTCGTTAGAAAAAATAAATAATAGAGGTTTATCAGTACCTCCCGTTTTACAACTGCTTCTAACTTTGCGATTCTATGCTACTGGAAATTTTCAGGTTGGTAGAAATTTATTGAAATTTTTTGTGTTTTATATTTTAATGTCTGCTAGATGGTGGATGGTGATTTGCGAGGAATTAGTCAAGCCACCACTTCGTCAACAATTAAAAGAGTATCTATAGCGATCGCAGAACATTTGCAAGAATTTATCCACTTTCCGAATACACCTAACGGTCAAAGAGCAAATATAATGGCTTTTCATAATATTAGAGGATTTCCTTCTGTAGCTGGATGTGTCGATGGTACTCATATACCAATAAAAAATCCAGGGGGGAATAATGCCGAAGTTTTTAGAAACAGAAAAGGTCAATTTTGTTTGAACGTGCAGGTACCCAACATTGTGGTATTGCCAACATTATATTTTTATTGGGATTTCTATTGAAGGTTATAGCAGGACCAAAGTTAGAAATTTTAAATATTGTTGTGCGTCATCCTGGATCGACACATGACAGTGTTATTTTTAACCGCAGTTCTGCTAGAATTGAATTTGAACAACGCCAAGTGCTTGGTCTGCTTTTGGGTGATAGCGCTTATGCTTGTCGTCCATATTTATTGACACCCCTTCTTAACATAGAAAATAACCAAGAAAGGCGATATAATCAGTCTCATAAAACGACAAGAAATGTCGTAGAAAGATGTTTTGGAAAATGGAAAAGACGATTTCCTTGTCTTTCTAGAACGTTAAGAAACAAGCTAGAAACCTCACAAATTATTATATGTGCGACTGCTGTGTTGCATAATATTGGAATATTTTTAAATGATGATATTCCGTTCGATGAAGATATTCCACCCGAACCTCAAGAAGATATTGTCGTAAGACAAAATCATTTCTTAGGTTTAGAATTTAGAAGATATTTTATTCGACAACATTTTTAAATTAACAAATTAACAAAAATAAAAAATTACGAATCTAAAGCCTTCTTGGCCGCCTTAAGTTCAGCCATTGCTGTTGCTAGTTTAATTTCATCGATTTTGCGAATGGCTTCCAGTTCCTCTTTTGCAGCCTGCATACGGAGTTCATGCAACTCCCGTTGCTGCTCGATTGATTCTTGTAATTTTTGCACGCGAAGTGTTTTTTCCAAGTTTTGATCTACTACTGTTCTTGCTGTCTTTTTTGGAGGCTCCAGTACGGTTTCTTGGGTGTCACCCAAGCTTGATCCAGTTGCCAAATCCGTGGTTGGGTCTGCTATGATTCGTTCGTAAACATAATTTTTTTAAAAAAGAAAATTAAATGTGGAAATTTATCTACCTAAATTATTGTGATTCTCGTATCTGGCCGTAGAATCATACTGACATCCCAACTGAATGTCTAGATGTGGAGCTGCCTCTTCTACTAGGTCCATAATGGTATCATGCTCTTTGGCGCTTCGCGTTCCACCTCCAGTTTTTAGAATATCATATTTTTCTTCAGTGATTATTTTTCGTTTACTAACAATAATAGCAATAAATTTTTCAGATATATTATTCAGTAATAGAACGAAAATAATCTTACGCTTGCTTCAAATTTGCCCAACACTTCTTCAGCTGTTTCGTGGTGTGTTTACAGCCTACCTCAGGCTGTGCGTTGTAATATGCACATATTTCCTCCCAAACTTTAGACTTTTTCTCAAGACTCACCGCGTCCGTTTTCTTACATTCTATAACGGATCCTTTTTCCTTTATTATGTTGGTTAAAATGGCTTTTTCTTTAAAAGTATAAGCCGTTTTTTTCCATTTTTTAAACATTAAACAATTCGAAATGGATGTCAAAAAATGACATTTGTCGAGCAAACAGGCAATTTCCGCAACTTCACCGAGTTTAGCCGAAGTTCGGTTTATAAATCCAAACTAAACTTATCCCTATCTTAAGCCTGCTACACACACGCATGCCAGTCGGCCGATTTGGCTTGACAAACAAAGTTGAGAGAAAAGTCTGTTGGTTCGTTGCGTCTCTACACGCACCGACTTCTTTGGCGACTTACAGAAAACAACTTGTAAAGTAAGCACGGCCGCGGTAGCACAAAGCGATGGCATCTGATGACATACTACTTGCTACAGCTGTTGCATTAATAGTGAAGACAAACTCAAAAAACGGTCACGATGGACAAAAGATTGGTTACAAAAAAGGAATAAATATTCACACACAAATTTATCAGAAGAACTGCGACTGGAACCCCGTGACTGGATGAACTACCTTAGAATGGATACTGGTACTTATGAGGAATTGCTATGTCAAGTTGCACCATTAATTATAAAGAAGGACACAGTGATGAGGGTGGCAATTACGCCCCATGAAAGATTGACTGCTACTCTTCGATTTTTATCAACAGGAAGAACTTTTGAAGACATTAAATTTTCAGTAATTATATCACCCCAAGCCTTATCACAGATAATTCCTACAACATGCCAAGCAATAATAACGGTTCTAAAAGATCAGTACATGAAGGTAAGAAAATTTATTTTTGGATAATATATGAATTATAACAAAACACACAATTTTATGGTGCGACATTAGAATAATAGTCTGCTAGAGTACCATCGAGTGGTCGTTGCCATTGGTGGTAAGTAGCTTCGGGATTTTCTGTTTCTGGACAATACGCAGTTACGGGTTGGCGATTGTGCATCCTGCTGAGTTCACCTGGCAGAGTATTTCTTGCCACAGTTTCTATGGGGGCATATTCTATCATTAAATTGTAGTTTTTCGTGTTAAGATGGGGGCATTTTCTAACTCTCAGCATACACCATATGCATTAATAAGTTAATCTCTTAATGTTCAGTTATAAAAAGCGGAGTTCATTATGTACGTACAAAAACAAAATTATTTAATATTACAATTAGTAATTATATGACGAATGATATCAAAAATCTTTATGAACAACTAATTCACTATTGAATTCGTGTAACGTGCAAGATTTAAAACAGTGATTTAAAACAATTAAGAAATTTGTTTTTTTAAGATTTTTAATCTTTCGTTTGTATGTACTTCTTGCAACCTAGACAAAAATAATAAATATAATCTATGTATGTTTGTTAAAATTTTTTTTTTTTGTGTTGCCATGTCAGAAGCATCAATTTTCGATTTCACATGTCCTGCATTATCTAAAATGAACAGGATAAAAAGAAAAACACGAACTAAAGGTATAAAATAAACTAGTATCGCAGAATGATTTGGTTTATGAAGGAGTGTTCGTTTCCCGTGTTATATGATATATAGATAGAAAAATGCGAGCAAGGTTTGAAAAATTTAATTTCAGATTAAATATTTACGACTATTTATTAAAAAAAAGCGAGTGACACAGTCTGGACATATGCACAAAATTTTTCTGAAATGTGCGCATATATACATATAATATACCCAAAAAGGCTGAAATATGCATATATATTTTTACAAATGATGCACTGTTTTCAACTCATTACGATTACGTGAAAAAAAGTAGTACTTTCATTAAGATTGTATTTAAAAATGAAAAAAACAAAGAATGTGTTTTTTAATAAATCTACTGCAAAAAATATATAAAATATTAATTAGTTTTGGAAATTATCTCGCTGTATGCTTTGGAGAAATTTTTTTTGTCAGTATAAATTATGTTCGGATTATCTTTAATCGATGACAAAACCACGGAAGTTTTCTCTCTCTCGTTTTTTTGGACATTCACGCTTTTTATGAGACGCTTACATACGAAAGAATGAATAATTTACTTATATCATATTCTTTTCGCTAAAGTACAACCTACATACCAACTCATACTTTTACGCCTTTGGATAAACCAGATCGTAAAAATATTAGTCTTGATCCATCTTGAAGCGGGTAAAACTAAGTTATTAACATGCAACGGAAATGACCGCAGTAAATGTAAGTGGGTACAGACTACCGAAAGTAATCCTATATTATTGTACACTGACCGGCAAAAAAAACCGGCCACCCTGAAAATTTTCGCAAAATCACTTTAAAAATTATTAATTCAACTAGTGATCGTTATTTTATTAAAGAACCATTCAGTATTGACACATGTTGTACAAATTAGCAAAAAAAGAAGACATAAAAACGCATAATTAAATTTAATTTAACAAAATAACAGAAACAGACCAAGTACGATATCATCTTATATATCGATTCTGGGGTCTGTTGCACAATACTTATAAGTCTAATAATATTAGTTTGTAATTTGTAATTTATGCAATAAATATACACAAATTACAATTCACAAGACTAATATTATTAGACTTGTAAGTATTGTGCAACAGGCCCCCTGTAACTTGTTATGTTAATAACATTCTGTTATCACTATGTAAACACAGCTAACATTCTGTTGTTGCTACGTAATAACATATTTAACATAAATTGCAATTCGCTAAGCTTCTTTCTGTTATGTTAATAACATTATGTTATTAAAATACTCTGTAAAATAACAGAGACATTTGAGTCAATGTTATTAACATAATGCGGTTATTTTAAGGTTTATTAATTAATAATATCACAAATTTGACTGAGGTGGCAAAAGAAGTAAAATGACAGAAGTGGATGATTTTCTACCAGTCTTCGGTTACTTATTATTAGAAGACGAAATTCAACGGTAGGTCTTTCATATCATAGTATTACTAAAAATATAACAATACATGTATTAGATGAACAGAATGAGAATTCGGCTGAGGGAGCTTCGCAATCAAAATTCCTTTGAAAATTTAACAGAGACGGAATTTAGAAAGTCCTTTCATTTTAGCAAAAATATGACCCGTTTCTTACTGGAGAGGTTGGAACTTCATTTGGGAAATCTACGTCTCAGTGGTATTCCGGGATACTTAAAAATTTTAGCCACATTGAACTTCTTAGGCCATGGTTCCATACCAACACTGCGTAGGAATGTCTTCTTCTGTTGCCATGAGTCAACCATCGGTTAGCAGGGTCATGACTTAAATTTGTCGCCTAATTAGTGAAATTTTAATGCCTGTCTGGATCTAGTTCCCAACGACAGCAGAAGCGATAATATCTACTAAGCAAAAATTTTATGAAAAACCACATTTTCGTGGTGTATTTGTTTGATAGTGACAGATGATGAAAATGGTGTCATTACTTCGAAAAATAACATTTTCGGACAAATGACATCTGTTATTTAGGTACTAACATAACGGTTTACAGAATACGACATTTCTTGTTTTATGTTAACGTCCTGATAACATAGCAATTTTAATAACAGAAATTTAAAATAACATAATGTTAACTGATTGTTACAGAATCGACCTATTAATTAAAACAATAAAGGAGGCTGTTGTTGTAAACAGTGTTTTTCATCATTTGATTATAAATTTGGCAGTCAATAAACGTTTTCACGCGAAAACAATGGACCTATCTACTGAATAGTCGTAAACACGAACAGACCGAGGATTACTGCATGTTAGTAAGAGACAGAGGTTTGGGCGTACAGCCAACATCTTTACCACAATTTTTAAAACAGCGAATCAACATCGAGCAATTTAAAACGCTCGGTGGCGCTCGGCATCCTCGAGAGTCATATCGGTTTGTCTTGCAATTCTTTGACATGATGAACGTAAACAAACAACTACAGCACACCTGCGCCATCTGCCATGTTATATCCGAGACCGCTGCCTGTCTCGTTCATTGACAGACTTTTGAATTACGCGGTAACTTGACACATGGTGACTGCGCATGCTATATTAGGGTGTATCTTTTACGACTGTTCAGTAGATAGGTCCATTGTTTTCGCGTGAAAACGTTTATTAACTGCCACACCTCAAGAAAATTTCTATTTTAAAAGATATGCAACTTGTAAAACACCCATGCTACCTCGTTATGACAGCTGCCACTCATCTCTAAGGGTTAAAATCGTTCACTTCGTTTACAATAACTAGTTTTATTACTGCTATTGTCAGCGGGGGAAGTGTATCCCGGCTTACAGGTAGAGCAGAGTAAGGAACTAAAATATTTATGCACTATGAAAGAAAACAAACAATATTTCTTAGCTTACGTTCGAGAAGTAAAAACGCAAAAACACGTCTACTGGTATATAAAAACTGCCATTTTGTAATATTAGTTTCAAAAGTTTTGAGCGACATTTGACAGGTGTATGACGTCATCGATAATTTTTTAAATAGCACCTCCTACTTTTTTTTTAGCATAAAGTCCCTTGAAAGAAAATTTTTGATATGCGGTTTAACCTAATTTACTATCAAAAGAAAAGAAAAAAGCCAAATGTGTGTTTTAAAATAAATTAATATAATCATTGTCAGAGACTCTTGAGATCTTTACTCGCAATACACACAACAAAAAAATGCTTGTTCATATATATAATTCCGACCATAATTCTTACTCTTATTTTTAAATTCCTGTTTCCATAAAAATTCGTACGCATTGGGCATATTCTGTAAGTAGGTAGAAAAGTAAAATTAAATTTCCAAGAATATTTTATTGTAGGTACGAAGGTACGTTATTGTGAGTATTTCTTAGTAACCTTGGAATTTTTCAACCCAAAATCTTAGAAATTTAGGTAGGTACATACCTAGTTACCTCTCGGAATGTATTTTGAATGAAGCAAATTGGTCGAAGGTTATTTCGACAGAACTTCTCTCGCCTCTGAAATACAATAAAACAAACCCAGCTTTTTCGAAAAATTATAAAATTTGATTATGCAAATTTTATTTTGTTATGAGAACCCGGATAAGTTACAATTTTTTCCAAAAATTCTAGATGTCTAGGGTGAAAATTCTACACGGATTTACACACCACAAGTGCAGGAGTATCTAATTTTATAA